AGGTGACGTGAAAATGAAAGGGCGTGAGGATTTTAATTGCAGGATCTAGGGAGGATGAAGGACAATGTCATGCCACATCCTCTACAACAACCTGCATAGTGCTTGTTATTAAGAGCTAGAACCATGCACAGCAATGTTTGGATGCATGCACATTGCGAGTACTAAGCATATAGCAATGTTGGATCTACTGGGGCGGGTCTTTGGGACAGGTCAAGATCTGCTGAGATTCCCCCGGTCTGACCTGCTCAAAAGATTGCGATGTGGCGTGGCGAAATTTGGGTCAAAATTAAGGAACCGCTCTCACCTCTCTCATGTCCACATCTGATTCCATGTGTCTGCCTGCCTGTGATCACGCCATGTGCTTCCATGGCCATGGCGGCCTCCCTATCTATAATTGGCGTCTCGTTTTCTTGGAGCAGTGTCCACCTACGACTTTGTCAAGACTTGATGCCGCATCCTGGTAGCTTCTCTTTCTATCTGTGGCTGTGTTTAGTTCGTGAAATTTGGGAATTTGGCTACTGTAGCACTTTTGTTTTTATTTAACAATTAGTGTTCAATTATGGACTAATTAGGCTCAAAACGTTTGTCTCGCGATTTTCAATCAAACTGTGCAATTAGTTTTTTTTTCGTCTACATTTAATGCTCCATACACGTATTGTAAGATTCGATGTAATGACTATTGTAACACTTTTTGGGAAACTTTTTGGAAACTAAACACATACTGATTCCATTTGGGGAGATACCCAATCCTTGAACAACGTGTGCCTGTTGCCAGAAAACAGTGGTGAATGATTGTGTGTCGCCCCACTTTATTTCGTCTACCCAAGCAGCTGAATACAGTACGTAGATCTGTGTCCACACGTGGTCACTTGGGTAGAGCCGTAGAGAAGGCACAGTAACTGATGAGGCGAAAGCCTTCCGCCATCCACCGGGCGAAGGCTCACAAATCACATTACGTGGGCAGAGTAATGTCAAGACAGGTCCCTCTTGAGCTGGGGAGCGGTCTCTGTTTTCGTGGTGCACCATGCACGACTTAACAGTATGATGATGGGAGTTCACTTTCGTGGGAAACCCTTACCACTCTTACGAAGTTACCGCATCCAAAACTCCAGCAGATCCCAATGTTGAACCAACATGATTCGCAGTTTGGCAAATTCATTCTCATCGATTTGAAATAAGCAGGCAGGTTTCAGGTATCACGGACACAGGCTAGATGCTAGAGCTGTACTAGAACCTACAGGGATGCCTAACAAGTGATAAAAGACGACATCGTTAAGGACCATGGCAAGCACCAGCCGTATCGAATCATTGATGCCTTCACGCAGCTCTCGCTGAAACGCATTGATGCCTTCTCCCCACGGAGCCCATGCCTGCGACCGTCCGCTGGCAGCAGCAAGCCTGCAAGCCAGCTACAAAACGGCAGTCCGCTGCTGCGTCTCTCCCTCTGTCAACTTTTTTTTTGATAGGACTCACCCTCTGTGAACTGACAAAGAAGGCTTCTGTACTCTGTACGGCTTCAGATCTGAGACGATGTGATGTACTGCTCCCTAGTCCCTCCGTCCAAAAACAGCGCAATTCTGGCTTTGGAGAAGTCAAACAGTTTTAAGTACGACCAAATTTATATAAAAAAATTTATTAACATTTATGATACTAAATAAATATTATTAGATTACCTAATATATTTTCATAGTAAATCTAACTGGAGACATTAATATTAATATTCTTTCTATAAACTTGATCAAACTTAGAAAAGTTTGACTTGTTCAAAACCTAGAATTGCATTAATTTTGGGACGCATGAAGTACATTGTAGTGGTATAGCCTTGTGACAATCCAGGGCTGGAGATCGGATTAGCAGGTTTACACACTCGGGGCAGAAATAATGGCAAGTCCGCCAAATGTAATTTGTGAACAAAGAAGTCAAAACATCATCATCACCATTTTAGAAGCATATGGCTGCGTCAATTCAAGTTTGAAAAATATCCAGGTGGACAAATGGGGTGAATAGCTCCAGGGTGTGCTATTCATTCACCAGTAAAAATTCCATGAGGACAACAAACATGGGAGATCATGAACTCGGTTTTTAGGCCTTTTTTCCTTATTTGCGAAGACCAATGGAAGTAAAACTCTCAAGATCTACTCGGAAATGGGGCAGGCTTCCTCAAAAGCTTGCTGCTCCTTACGGCAGAAGTCGAATTCGTTGGTGTAGTAATACATGCAACCAGCATACTCATCCATTTCCTTAGGACACCTTTGGTGAAGTTCTTTCAACCTGGGAGCGGAAACATTACTTGTCAAAGATGGCAAAGGACAGAAGAAATATAGGCTTAATGAAAACCACATTGCTGAGGCAAACAATATCGAACAAGAAAAACAGGGTCCTACAACGTACAAAATACAAGTAGTATATTATTAAAAAAAACAATGCTACGAAAGAAGCATACAGTCACACATGCTATTCAACTAAAAAAACAGCTACAACATTAGGTGGTAGTCTGCAATTCATTCCAGAATTAGAAGGGATAATAAGATACACAGCCCCTAAATGGATCCCCCTCCCAGAAAATAACCAAAAGAAAATGAAATTCCTGGTTGGTTTTGGGATAAAAAGATAGGTCTGTATGTCATCAATTACTCCCTCCATTCTAAAATGTATGCTGGTTTAGTTTTGTTCTAAGTAAAACTTCTTTAACTTTGACCAGGTTTATAGAAAAATATATTACATCTATAATACCAAATAAATACATTATCAAGACACATTTCAAGGTGGGGTTAATGAAACTAATTTTATGTTGTAGATATTGGTGCATTTTTCTATAAACTTAGTCAAAGTTAATAGAAGTTAGACTTAGGACAAAACTAAAACAACCTACATTTTGTAACGCATCGAGTACCAAACAGGAAATGATAAAAACACATACTGACATGTGGCCCAGGATCCACATGTCAGCCTCAACAGGTGTCGTATTGTAGAACATGCACTTTTTTTGTGCACATTCTCCAGCTTTTAAGAATGAACAATAATGAAACTGTGTAAATCCACCGGATAATCAAAAATACACATGTCTGATGAAATGGTTGTTGCTAAGATGCCCTATGCAACTCAATACTCCGGAATTGCGGATCTGATAGATCTCAGTAAGATGTCAACACTGATAATGTACTTTGCTTTTTCTTACTTTATGTCTTGTGTAACCTATATACATTAACTCCATGGCCTCAGTGCTCAAGAAGAAGGAAAAAATGGCACAAAGAAGTATGACATCACCAATTCAACCACATCAGGCTTCTAGTTGACAAATTGCTGAACTATAAGGGGTTCGTTTTGACAGGTGCCAAACAGAATAAGATATCAAGCCAGGTTGACATCACCAGTTCTTTTTGTTTAAAAAACATCATGTGAATATGTGCTGATGCTGAATGAATTTGCCAAAGCCTTTTTCTCATTTCATTTACTCGCACTAAAATGTACTGTATAAAAGGAAGTATGAAGTTGGGTATGACACCAACAGTTCCTCCATCGCAATTCATGCTACCCTACTGGATAATAAAATCCCAGGAGATGCAATGCAAGTTAGAACTGGTGTTAAAGCAGTGTTGTCACCATCTTATCAATTTAAACTCAGTGCCATAAACTAGTACATCCCTGAAGGTGGATACTTGTTGACTTCGGTGCATATTTGCTTCCCTGAATCACTTGCTGACATTATATTTAAATTCACTTGGTTAATTTGTGGATTTGCCACATTGTACTCGTGGTGACTTGAGATTCTCTGGCCATGGAAGAACATTCTAATCACAGACTAAGTATCTATGGTGGATGAAAATTTAACAAATGCAGCTCAGATCAAGTAGGCAGAAATGTGATCTTAGCTGCAAATAGCGAGTGTGATCACGCTAAATAGTTAGTTCAATTTAGCTTACTCAAGAGCAATGTGGAAAGCAGGAAGGTCTACAAAGTAGGGAAGTTCTTAGCCTTCTACTGGAAGATATGGTGCTGTGACACAACTAGGGCTTCCGGCAATTGGTTCTAGCTAGCCAAGCTTCCAGTTTGGGACAGTCGCACCAAATCAACCACTGTAAGATGATATGGTAGGTAGCAGTTATATTTATTTTAGCTGTAATGACCAAGTACAAAGTTAAGCATTGTACAGTCACTTATTAGCTATAATTTTATCATCTTGGCAATGCTTGCTAAGGGCTTCACCCATCAGAGTTTTCCCCCTTGAAATCTATTTGATTATGCTTAATAAACTGATGGCTGGAATAATGAGAGAAAGGAAAAACTACAAACAATATGGTTCATGCAAACTTACTGTTGAAAATGAGCATACCAGAAGAAAAAGATCAACCTATGAGAGAACAATCAGATATATATAACAGTACAAATTTCAAATAACAGAAATGCTACTAAGTTAAAAACTAAATATCAGGTTTTGTGTGACTGTAGCCTTCTATCGTTGAACTTAAGGGGAACTGACTAAGGATATCACAGTATTTATTGGCTGCAACTGCAAAGGAGGGCTATTGTTTGGATGAAACCAACCTAAACAATCAAGGTACGAAACCCTTTGCTCATTTGATGGATGACCCTAAAGCCAAATGAGCTGTCTAACAATGAACATCACCAATTTAAAGTGCTCTAGCTAATCAGTCCAGCCTCTGTCAGGGGCTAAAGGCCTCAGTAGCATCTGGCCATAGCTTGACATGTATAGGTTGCCGATCGTTTTATTTGTTGGTTCATTGGCTATAAACATGTACTAGAACCTATGGGCATGTTTGAGTCTTTTTAGATTCCCTCTCTTCTTAATGACCCGCAGCTCTCATGCTTGTTGAAGAAAAAAAAATGGTGCAGCCTTGCAATGCAATCAGAAATTTCTACTATTGTACTATATGAACATAATTCATAATTTTCTACGTATCTTCATTGAAGTTATCGAATCATGTCTCTGCATAGCATTTGCATAACCACTCAGCTGTTGATTATCTTTCAAAAAAAACTCAGCTGTTGATTAACCTGATAAGGGGTGACCTAAGAGTACACACTAGTACCACATAACCAATGCCAGGTAGCTGTTCAACTGCATCATCAGTAACCTCACAAATTGCTTCGCTAACGTATCGAACCCTAAGGAACAGAATGACGGAAGCAAGTCCAATCGAGCAGCAGGGTAAACCCTGTTCGCTTGCTCGTAAACGATCGTAAATTTTCAACCGGAAACAGTGTTTTTCTCTCGTACTAAAACAGCCAGCGGTAAATAATCCACGATACGATACGGCCTCCGAACAGGCTGAGGGAGGATAGGGGGAGAACGTGGCAGACGAACTCACAGGCTAAGGACGCAGCGTGTGACCTGACGGCCCTTCTCGAGGCACTTCTCGGGGTTAGGGTCCTTCTTCTTGCAGTTGAGGAACGCGACGTTCTCCGGGCGGCACCGGACCGCGATGTGCTTCGACGCCGCCATCAGCACCGACGACGTCGGGATCGGCTCCCCCGAGGCGTCTACGGGCGTGCTGCTCGCCGACATCGCTGCGGGCGTGGTGGTTTCCGCGGGCTCCTGGTCTTGGAGATCTGGGGTAGGAAGTGGGCGAAGCGAGACGGCCACCCCCAGACGGGAAGGGAGGAGGAGACGGAGGGAGGAAGGTGGGGACAGGTGGCCAGTGGCATGGTGTGTGTGTGGTAAAGATGTCAAATGGGCCAGCCCGGCCCGGCACGGGCCCGTGCCAGGCACGACCCGATGGGGTTTGGGCCGGCACGACACGTCGTGCCTACCGGGCCATGCCGAGGCGGGCACTGCGTCTTGGGACCTCTGCCCGAGTGCACGCACACTGCTGGCCGTTTATTGGGCGGTGGCCCGAGAAGCACGACCGATCCCAGCGTGTCGGGCCACCGGCCCACGATGAAGCGCTAGCAGCCAGAGATAGGGGGAAGGGGAGGAAGCGCGAGCAATGGAGATGCAAAGATGGCCATGCGACCTTGCTCTTAGGGCCCATGACACCGGCGAGAGAGACGAGGAGCGTCGGCGTCAAGTCCTGTGGCGCAGAGGTGGGAGGGAAGGAGTTAGGGCGTGGTGCTCCGGATCTCCGACCAAACGCGCCCACACGGGTCTCTCGCAGCTCATGAAACCCCACATGGCCGGCCGGAGCGAGAGGAGGGAGGGCGTCCGCGTGGGGCAGCAGACGGCGCCAGCCCCGTCTTGGCCGAGGGGAGGAGGGGCGTCCGTGCAGGCACCGGCAGCAAGGCTCCAGGGCCTAGATCCAGGACCGTGCGTGTCCGGAGCCGTTCGCCGGCCGTTGCGCCGCGCCCTCGCGAGAGAGAGAGGGGAAGGTGAAAGCAGAGACGGAGGAGGGGACCAGCACGCCGCCACGTCGGGAGAGAGGGAGAGGAAGGGATGACAGGGGCGGAGGCGGCGGGAGCGGGAACAGTGGGGGCGAGGGTCGCGGGAGGCTCGGCCGACGCGCCTTGTGAGAAAACGAGAGAGGGAGCGGATGGGAGCTAGGGTTCGGGTGTGAGGGAGAGCCGCCGCGCCGCGACGTGCGCTCTTATATGAGGGGGGAGGGGGACGGTGGGCATACTGGCCAGGCGCGTTGGGCATGAGGAGGAGGAGGAGTGAGGAGGAGGGGGCCGGGCACATGCCGGGCCAATCGACGCAGTCGGCCGGTCAGGCTGCACAATTACAGGCTGAGCAACACTTTCCTGCACACAGTAGCTCCCTCGAGACGGGCCAGCCCGGGCCCGCACGTCACCGGGTCGTGTCGTGCTCGTGTCGGGCTAAAAAAGTGGGCTTCGTGCCGTGCCATCGTGCCTCGGGCTACATGGACATTTATAGTGTGGGGGCGGGGCTGGAGGAGAGGCTTTGCCACTCTCTGCGGTTCCTACCTTTGTGGGCTTTACCTAGGCTCATTTTTAAGGTTTTAGAGCAACCCTAGTAGGCCTCTAAACCCAAATTTAAAAGCTCAGACTCCCGAGAAGTCCCTACTCAAACCTTCTCGGTCTAATTTGGAAATAAAGGGAGACTAACACAACGATGAGAAGCTCCACATGATGACATGAAAAACTAAGTGGTTAGTTAAAATGACACATCCATAGATTGTTTATCCTAAAGAAGTCCGGGATTCCAAAGAGTTAGAGTTTCCAAACTGACCTTAAAATAAAGAGTTCCTGAAATCACCCCCTTAGTCCTCATACGCAAGGGCCTTCCTCTTGATCGATTAAGCCTCCACCCACTCCCGCTCGATCTGTCTTTCTGTCTTCCCTACTAAGCCTCTCCCCACCACACGACTCCTCATCAAGCACCTTCTCATCGAGCATCTCCTGTATGATGATGAAAGACGGGAGAAAAGGAAAAAGAAAACACATGCCGCTAATAGAAGGTCCTGACTTTTCATAAAAGAGGGAATTTTAGAGGTCATTGAGCATGGGAAAATAAAATATTTAGAGGTCATTAAAAATCTCTATAAACTTTCAGAAATTAGATTTAACTCAAAAAAATTCCAATTTTAAAGAAAGCGTTCTAATCAATGTATAAACGTATTTTAAAACTTTCCACAATAAAATATAAGATGCAACACACTATGGCTTGAATTTCTATTTAGAAGAACACTATGCAGGTGCAAAAACATGATGGCTTGGATTTCTATTTAGAAATTCCCGGTCCATTTCAGTTAGAATCTTTTCCTCTCCATCTTTAATGATCAACACACTATATCAGTAGAAGAATGTGATTACGCTGAATAGGGGTCATTCTCTTAATACTAATCATTATAATGTAGTCCTAGCACGCATATATAATTTAGACAAGGTCTAAGAATCCGATAAGATTCGGTAAGCGCACGGAGAGAATACTAAGATTAGAGTTCATCCACCTTTACTTCTTGGTTAGAGCCTATATATTTTTTATTTATAACCATACTTAACATCTATAACATCAAATTAGTTTTATTAATTTTTTCATAGAATATACATTGATGATGTTTATTTGAACATATAGATGTTAATATATACTCTGTATATTTTTTAAAACCTTAGTTAAAGTAAAAGAGATTTGGTTTAAGGCGAATTTGAATAAGAGGAGCACAAAGTATAATGTTCTCCCAAGCTCGTGCACCAAACAACGATCATCGCGCGAATTGCCCTGTTCGGCTGGTCATATTCGTGGCTGGTTTCAGTTGGAGCTGAATGGGCCTTCTGGCCCAGTCGAGCAGCTGGCCTCTCCAGCCATTCAGCTGCACTAAAACAATCAGCTCGCACCCTCCTCACTCTCCCCCTCTTGCATTCGCTCGCGCATGTTTAGGGTTGCGCCGCTCCCACCTGCTGCTTCCGGCGCCAACAACGTGAGGTCTTCGCCCGTACCCCCATTCCCGCTTCATCGTCGGCCGCATGCCGTCCTTCTCCCGTCACAACCCCCCTCCCCCACGCCGGAGACGGAAGGCGCCATCAACCCGGCCCGTGTCGTCGGATTTGGTGCCGCCTTGCCGTACCAGATCCGCCTCGTCCTCCTCGCCATGTGTGGCAAAACCGCCTAACCTAATGCCTCCTAAAAGTGCTTGTCTTCCATTAGACACTAAGCACTAGAGGGATAACACTAAATTACATGGTCCTGTCGGGCACACCCCAGGGGAGAACCCAAAAATCCATATTTTTCCATTAGGATCACAAATGAGATAATAAAGCTTACAACATTCTTAATCATTTCTTACATCACTTTTAATACAACATCAGAGTATAATAGTTATTGTATAACAGCTGAATATAATCATATTATCAGAGTTATGAACAATTTAAGTTACAACGGAATATAACATGTTATCAGAATTTCAGCGGAAATAAATATCTATTCATGACATGATGAAGCATTGATATATAAACTATGGCAACAAATTATGAAACTGTTATTTAGAAAACATTTAGTGAGAGTTGTAAATGAAAACTATGATCATAGCGTAAAGAAAATCCTCTCTGAGCCCACCAGGAGAAATCCACACACAAAGGTCAGCTCTAGCTTCCACCTATCACCTGCAACAGGAGGAATAAAATCCTGAGTACTCAATTATACTCAGCAAGACTTACCTGATAGGAGGAAAGAAAAGACTCCAAGGATATGCAAGGCTATCTAGCTTGTAGGTTCATTGCCTCTACAAGAAGTATTACTAAGCGTGCATCCTTATATTCGATTTTTATTAATAGCCGCATTGGTTCATTAACTAACCATTCTATGTAAGCACCTGAGCTACTTTCAAGCAGGTGGTAAGCAATCAGATTTCATTTTTCCATCTTCCATCTTTCATCTTTTAGTTCTTACTATGATGCTAAACCATAGACAAGCCGTACTGGATTTCTCGGCAATTCACGAATCAATGCCCCCAGCTGGGTACCCCGAAAACACACGCCCCGCTTGTACCTAAGGCACAAGCAGGACCAACCCATCACCCTCCTGTCCTGGGTGTCCAGGTCCCAGTCCAAACTGGGACTCCAAGCCCCCGCCCCTGAGTTCTGGACTCAGTGCGGTGCAAGGACCTCCTGACCCAAAAACCACCCTAACAGTCGGTCCGGAAAGAGCCGGATCCACGACAAGAGAGCAACAAGTCTTTCAAACACCCATACCCAAGTATGTGCTCGGGATAATAAGTCTGTGACTTGCCTAGAGCCTTATGCAATGGTCGGTCCTTAACCGACACAGACAGGGAAAGCAGTGTAACCAAGCTATGCCCCATGTCCGCGGCGACACAACCTCTTACACCCACCAATACCCAAACCATATCCCTATCCGGTCACCATTTTTTCTTTCCATCATTTATATTTTTCAAGTAATAATAATAATACATTAATATATTTCCTATCTCTCGCTTGGGTAAGATATATTAAAAAGTTAGTATCTGCATCTTTAGATCATCCACCATCAACTGAATAGAAACCCCATTGCATCATCTCCTGGACAGAATTCTATTACACCATCTTTGAATTCCCAATCATCCTTCAATTGATCCGTTGATCCATCATCGTACCTATATGATATGCATTGATGCAAATGCATAGATGTAAATAACCAACGACAGCCGAAACGCATAGAAATCCGATCACGTCTCACAAGCTAACGAGATAGCTCTAACGCTGATCTACGTATCCATCTTGTTGAACAAGGCATTACTTCCCAACCAATGTTGTAGTTATACAAACCCAAGTTGTTTCTTTATTTCATTCTGTCGATTTAATCATTATTCGAAATACAACATCATTAGCCACCTAGCAAACTGATTATTCTGGAGCCACAAAATTACAATGAGTACCTAATATTGCTAGGAACCTACTGTAAAAATTTGAGATTCAACACTATTACCAATTTATCATAACAATTCTTACAAGTTTATATTTTCATAATATTAAGCATTCTAAATCAATTAGAGCAACCCTAGAAACATCTTAAAACTAGGTGAACAAATTATACTAATAAGTAGATCATGATTTTAGAAGACTAACAAAATTGGTTTGATATTTTTATGATTTTCTACACTTTATTTTCAATTTTTG